CAATGTGACAGACTGGACACTACTGTATTATGAACACATTACACTAGCATTACGTATCAATGTGACAGACTGGACACTACTGTATTATGAACACATTACACTAGCATTACGTATCAATGTGACAGACTGGACACTACTGTATTATAAATACATTACATTAGCAATACGTATCAATGTGACAGACTGGACACTACTAGATTATAAACACGTTACACTAGCATTACGTATCAATGTGACAGACTGGTCACTAATGTATTATAAACACGTTACACTAGCATTAGGTATCAATGTGACAGACTGGACACTACTAGATTATAAACACGTTACACAAGCATTAGGTATCAATGTGACAGACTGGACACTACTGTATTATAAACACATTACACTATCATTACGTATCAATGTGACAGGCTGGACACTACTAGTGTAATGTATTTATAATACAGTAGTGACCAGCCTGTCACATTGATACGTAATGCTAGTGTAACGTGTTTATAATCTAGTAGTGTCCAGTCTGTCACATTGATACGTATTGCTAGTGTAATGTATTTATAATACAGTAGTGTCCAGTCTGTCACATTGATACGTAATGCCAGTGTAATGTGTTTATAATACAGTAGTGACCAGCCTGTCACATTGATACGTAATGCTAGTGTAACGTGTTTATAATCTAGTAGTGTCCAGTCTGTCACATTGATACCTAATGCTAGTGTAACGTGTTTATAATACAGTAGTGTCCAGTCTGTCACATTGATACGTAATGATAGTGTAACGTGTTTATAATCTAGTAGTGTCCAGTCTGTCACATTGATACCTAATGCTAGTGTAATGTGTTTATAATACAGTAGTGTCCTGTCTGTCACATTGATACCTAATGCTAGTGTAACGTGGTTATAATACAGTAGTGTCCAGTCTGTCACATTGATACCTAATGCTAGTGTAACGTGTTTATAATACAGTAGTGTCCAGTCTGTCACATTGATACCTAATGCTAGTGTAATGTGTTTATAATACAGCACTTAGGTATCAATGTGACAGACTGGACACTACTAGATTATAAACACGTTACACTAGCATTACGTATCAATGTGACAGGCTGGTCACTACTGTATTATAAACACGTTACACTAGCATTAGGTATCAATGTGACAGACTGGACACTACTGTATTATAAACACATTACACTAGCATTAGGTATCAATGTGACAGACTGGACACTACTGTATTATAAACACATTACACTAGCATTAG